AGCGAGCAGAGCCACTCTCCTTTTCCTCACTTTCGAACTGCCCCAGAACCTTTACCGTGCCCTCCCCGTTACCTTCGCCCGGTCCGTTTCCGACCCTCGCCTGTCTCCTCACCTCACGACAGGCGACCGCGATGGCCCGCCGCGTGGCGACCGCGAGGGCGGGTACCGCCGCGGACCGCCCGGCGGAGATCGCGAGGGAGGCTACCGCGGCTTTGGCCGCGGCGGCGGCGCGCCGCGCCCGCCGCAGTAAGGCGCCGCAGCGGGTGGAAAGGGGGTTTGGGGTTACGAGCATGACTCTCGCGCGCCCGCCGCCGCGCCGGGGATTCTCTCACTAGCCCGCTGATAGTCTACCGCCCAACGCGGGTGTCCCGCGCCCCGCCCCCGTATTGCGAGGGAGGGGCGCGGCTGTTCGCTCGTTGGGCGGGCGGGGTCCTCGCCGCGGGCGTACAGCGTGGCGGGCGCGTGGCCTTGTCGTCATCCCCCTGCTTCCAAGTTCCATTCCATGGCGTACGCCATTGCCCTTTCAATCTTTTCGTTTCGATCGATACACGATAGAACACCCCCCACACGGAATCGCGGTCTGTACCGAGACTGTAGAATCTGTACGTGGCTGGGTTCACAGCGATTGTAGGAAAACGAAGGGAACACTTGACGGTCGCGCCTTCCGACTCGCGCCTCCGCCTCACTGGCACTATTGTAGCCCTAGCCGGTGCGCGTGCAGAGTTGAAGTTCCGGAGTGAAAATTCGAACGCGTTCTCTCACGGTGACCAAAAAATGTCCACCTCAGAGGCACCTCCGGAGGCAGGCCGCCGCACGCCGGCGACACAGCTCCAGCTGTCGAACTGACCCGCAGCTCCTCTCATAGCGGGAACTGTGACAAAAGTTGACTGAGGCGGTTGTCAGGAATCATCATACGGATCACATGGTGGCTCTCTCATGACGGGAGACCGCCCGACCACTCCTGGGTGGCACTGCCACCGGTGTCCCTCGACGTCCTGTTGACAGCGTGCCGACAGCGACACAGACCATGTGGGACGCGTCGAGTATCGACCTCTACTGCTTACCCAGCCTTCGAGTGTATCCTGGCTGTGGTCCCACACCCACTGGTGTCCATCTCAGAGACCGCAGGAGGTCATGAGGGTCGATGGGAGTGCCAACCCCACAATGCGCCTAAAAACCCAGCCCAGTACGGTCGCTCGGTCCGCGCGTGTACTGCGCACCGACTCTACCAGCTTGTCCAACTTGGGAGGAGGCATTCGCCTACCATCAACAAGACTTGGGGCAGCAGTTGCAGAAGCTGTATCATCACGCAGTTGCAGCCTCAGTTGCACCCTGTTCATGTAGGCCAACCTGAGCACCACCAGTATACTCTCTGTGGACAGTTGGGGACATCAAGTGCCGGGAGTCATTGCCACTGCCGACACAGGTACTTTTGCAGGCGCAACACCCCCAGCAGCGTCGTCGCTGCA